CTGCCTGCCGCTCTGCCTACTTGTGCTCTCTTTCTCCATCTCTCTGTCAAATAAATTTTAAAAAAATCTTTAAATAATATATACAGAAAAAATGTTGGAAAGGTGCTTTTATTTTAGAAGACATGATTCAGGTCAAAGGAAGGAGGCTTAACCCTGCAGCTGCCATAGCCTCTTTATTAGGGCGGGTCAGACGCCAACAGGAAAGTGAAGACCCTGATGACAGTATCAAGGGTCGGGGATGGTAGGGTGCATAGTGGGAAGAGAGAGGGGCAGAATATGTCAGCACAAGCCTTCCCTTTCTTGCTCAATCAGATATTTAGCAGACCTAATAAAATCCAATGGCTGAATATTCTGCAGCCTGAGCACTTCCCCATTCGCTTTGAAAATTAGACTTAGCAGACAGCCTGTGTGCAACTCAAACAAATAAATTAGCTGGCAGGTCAACAGGCCTCACTGCAGGCCTTCGCAGGGGTGAGCAGTAAGTGGTCTATAGATGCAGAGCAGAGTGGGGCTTGCGTGGGGGGAGTCTTCCTCCTTCCTGTGGCACAGACAGGTAATGCCACTGTGAAAATAAACAAATGGATCTGTGGGGCTGTGGGGCTGTTTGGCTAGTGCTTGGGCTAAGCCCCCTGCCCTCTGATCCCACAATGTTTGTGGAGCCTGTGTTGCTGTCTAGCGACAGGGTCTATTTTTCTATCCCATGGCGCAAGTGGACGCAGCTGTCTATGGCTGATTTATAGGAGGAAGTCACCAGTGGGAGCCCCAGGAGGCTCTCACAGCCCCCAGTCTTCATTTTCACTTCCCCGTTCACGGCAGCCATGGGAACTCAGGGGTGGGATATTCAGTAAACTGGGTGGGGGGTTCCTGGGGGCTTTACCCTTGAGGGAGATATGCCTCCACCCCCAAAGAAGCCCCCAAAGCCTGTCAGGCTAGTCATTTTCTCTGCAACTGATTGGATTTAGATCCTGTTTGCCAAGCACATTTTCCATCCTTCTTAGTGTCTAGCTCTACAGATGTTATTTCTAGATTTTTTTTCCAGGGAGGGTGTAGGAATGGGGCTTGGGATAAAAATGGACATCTTTTTTCTTCAGTTTATTAAAATCACACTCTCATACATTTCTGCACCTTAATGGAAGCAGTCCTGACTTTAAAATACGACTATAAGCATACAGAGACTCCAGAGTCTTTCCAAGAGGGTTGACCACAGAGAAAATACTTTCCATCCGTTATTCTGTGCAATGCTTGCCACAGCCTAAAGAAGAGGTAGTATCATCTCCAGTTTACTGATGGAGAAACTAATGCCCAGAGAGGTTTGGGTGATCTCCATGAGACTCACAGTTAGATAGCTTGAGAGCTTTCTGTCTGACTCCAAGTCCACAGCGTGAAGAGTGATTAGCCACCATTCAGACTGGGAGACACTAACCACTTTCACCTACACTGTTTATTTTCTATGCACGGTAGAAGCCAGTCAAGGAAGTCCTCATTATCACAAGCTCCCTGAAGTTTCTCTTTCAGACTGAGCTTAAAGAGCCAGTACCCCCAATAGTAATGATGTGGCAGGCTTTAGAGAAATACTTGTGAAACCAAGGTCCTAGCCTCTTACTCTACTTGGTGTATGTATTTTCTCAGGCATATCTTGGCTCATCAGCATCTTCAGAAAACCAGAATGTGTATGTACACACACACACACACACATACCAGGATAACTCTAGATGTAATGAAATATTCCCCACTTGGGGTTCTTCCATGTACTGAATTCTAGCTCTACAACTGAGGCAAAGTTTGTAATATTCTCCCTACTTTCCAGTGCGCCCCTCAAGGAATACACAAAAGAGACCTCTCCAGCTTTCCCATCATATACCATTCTCAAACACCTCAAACACCATTCTCAGCAACCTCTGTGTCCTCCTGCAGGGACAATGCTACCTGTCTGAAACACAGAGAAAGCAGCCACAACCAACAAGAGATGGAAGGAGCGACATTTTTTTTTTACCTCCGTGGTCTCAGCAGTGTTCTGATTACTGATTAAAAATAAAAATACTGATTACACTCAAACCCATCACCAGGCATGAAGCTGAACTAAATCGTGAGTTGCAATTTATCTCCCAATTTTGTCCCCATCCCCAAAACCCCTTAATCACCAGCACCCTACCACTCAAACCCAAGAAAAATCCAAGGCCAGCCCTCTAAGTCATGACTCTTGAGAAGCTAAGCAGCTCTCCAGAGCTTCCTTGAACACCAAATAAGGAGATTATAGATGTCTTAATTTTCATCTTTTTATGTATTATTTATAACCTTAATATATAATTTCATTCTTATCACCACCCTACAAGGCAGATATTATGATCATTTTACAGATGAAGAGACTGAGGCCCAGAGCCGTGAAGTGATGTCCAGCAGCAGGGGTGCCAAGATCCACATCCAGGTCTGTGTCTCTCCTCAAGGAATACAGTGACCAGGGGCGCCTGGGTGGCTCAGTCGGTTAAGCGACTGCCTTCGGCTCAGGTCATGATCCTGGAGTCCCGGGATCGAGTCTCACATCAGCTCCTTGCTCGGCAGGGAGTCTGCTTCTCCCTCTGACCCTCCTCCCTCTCATGCTCTCTGTCTCTCATTCTCTCTGTCTCAAATAAATAAATAAAATCTTAAAAAAAAAAAAAGGAATACAGTGACCAGGGTGCAACACTGCCATTCCCAGACTCGTTGCTGCCATGCTATACTCCTTCTAGAAATGTCTTTGCCCCCCTCTGCTACATATGAGTGTTCACTGGAGAATGGGGGAGGAGCTGAAAGCACAGGCAGGTGATTAAGCATGTCTCTGCAACAGACTGGAGCCTCGAGGTAACTGTTTGGCTCCAGGGGATCAAGAGCAGTAGGAATCTGTGAGCTAGCCCAGATTTCTAGTCTGATGGCCTCCAACATGGTATCCCATCTCTTCCCAAACACCACAAAGCAGTAAATCCCTAACAACAAGAACACTCAGACAGCCTGTGTTCTTCCTCCGGGCCACAGAGGAAGTTTCTTAGGTCTTTTAACTGAATTAAGCCTCCACACTTAAAAATGAGATTTCATGTTAAAATTCTAATTTCGAGCTTCTCCCACAAAATCAGAAGATCCAGCAAGACAAGGCTCATGTTCCCAGATGGCCACAGCCAGCCCAAGTGACGGTAATGGCTGTGTGCCAGTTTCCACGTTCTCCAGTTTGCCAGAGTCACCATGGCTCCCTAGTCTTTCCCAGGCATTCGGCCATTTACTTGGTCCTGGGAGCTTTTGAATTGGCCACCTCCACATACATGCATACATACCAAGAAGCATATACTCATTTAACAAGCATTTTAGCCCACTTTGCTGGCAAGGCATAAGCCGCTTCACGGGATACAAGAAGTCTGATACAGCTCCTGCTTCCCAGGAAGTATGGTCTTGCGGGAGGAGTGGGTGAACGTGCCCATTAGCACAGCAGTTCCCCAGCACAAGAACTACGTCCAGTTTGTTCACAGTTGTCTCCAGCACCGTGACGGTACCAGGTAGACAGATGCCCACTACATATCTTTGAAAGGACAGAAGGAAAGAACAAAGGAAAGTGGGAAGAGGGGGAGCGAGGGAGGGACGGAGAGAGGCAGTCCCTTTTAGGACATTAAGCAAGAGATGAGAGGGAGCTTGGCATGCAAAGCAGGCAGTAATCAAAGCCACAGAGAAGTGATACAAAGTGCTCTAGGAATACAGAGGAAGAACACTTCTATGTGGCATGACCAAGGAAGGCTTTGCAGAAGAAAAGAGATTGCCGGACGTTTAGAAACATTCCTAATATTTAAATACCTGCCCTCTCTTTAGTAACCTGGATTGACTTGTTGAGATTGCTTCGTCTCAGAAGAGAAGCTCCAGGTCTAAAGCCCGTGGGCTTCCAGACATGCTGCCCTCATCAGAACAGACTCTGGCCAAAGGGAGCATTGGAGCAGACCCCAGGCTGCTGCTCCCATGAGACTCAGGAGCAGCCAGACCACAGGCGACTACAGTGATAGTCTGTGCAAAACACCCATTCTGGTCCCGAGGCTCAGGAGGTGGGGAGCAGGGGCTGCTTTTATTTCAAAGTGGGGCTGTGCAGAAGCTCCCAGTTTAGTACAGTGAAGTGCCTGGAGCTCAGAGTTCTGATTGTTCTGTGGGCAATTCTCTTGTTTCACCCTGAGCTATTCAGTGAGGCACATGGACCTCTAGCCACCCCTGCCTCCAGCTTGGCCCGCTGCAGCCTCCCTCACACAGAGCCTCACTCTCTCTCCCCAAGGCAGGAGAATATCAGTCTGTTCAATCTCTGAGATCTTGATTCAACTCCAACAACACACTGGGCTTTCCTGAGGCCTCCTGGTCAGAAGACACTACTTATCTCCATTAACCTCTGACCCAGCCAAGATGAAACAGCTCCCATCTGCAGGCCTGAGTGGCCTCGTCCCTGAACTAAAGCTAAATAAAGTATGAGGGAGGGGGCAAGGACCTGCCGTGGCCCCAGACTTGCTGCCCTCATCCCCAGGGAATGGCTGCCCCCTCACTCTTGGGTATATCCAGCCCAGAGCCTGTTAGTAGATGACGCCTTGGGAATCCCTCCAGGTGGCCTCTGGGTTAAGAATACATCTGGAAGAAGCAGGGCCTCCTAGGAAGATGGAAGGGCCATAAACCCTCAAAGACTGTCCATTTGATTTATGCAATAATAATGGGAATGTTAATCTCCAAAGGCAAAGCCGTTCATCCAAAATTCCAACCTCCTCAGTCCCCACACCTGACTTAATGAGAACAGCCACCCTCACTGGCTGCCCCCGTGAGCAGTGAGCCAGGCATTTTACCCACAGCATCCCATTTAATTCCCATCACGAGCCAGGGAGCTGTGCACTGTTAGGATGCTCTGTTTACGGATGAGGAAACAGAAGCTCAGAGAGATTAAGTAATTGGCCCCAAATCACAGCTAATAGTTGCTGAACTGCTTACAAGAGTGAGTGGCCCAGCTCGGAGCATACCGTGTCTGCCTGACTCCAAAGCCGATGCTTTTCACCCCTGTTCCACTCTTCCCCAGCAATCACACTGAGAGGTGCCTATTTGGAAAAAAAAAGTCCAGTTCACCCAGAGGCTACAAATGATACTGCTCTTGAGTTCTTTTATTCAAATCTTAATTTACAGGGCAGCAGAATAGTAAATGTTGTATGATCTGCCCCCTGAGAACTACACTTCACTCCAGTTAATATTAAGTACCTGCTATGTGCTCAGCCATATTATTCAATGTAATCCTGACTATAAATACTATAGGAGGGCATCACTAAGTACTAGACAGATGAGAGTATGTTTATATCGTTCTCTGGAATTTGTGGATTTTAATTTCTATAAGCAATAATTCTCTTAACTGATGATAAGCAGCGATCATCAATATGAATTAAAATTAATCTAAAATAACATGAAATCTACTTTTTTTTTTTTTTAAATGGTCTGCTGACCAGTGTAGTTGACCAATCAATGGATTCAAAATGAAAGCAAGGAGTCGATTCAGATGACAGGTCAGAAAATTGAGACCATAAAAGAAGTCTTTTAAAAGGGTAATTTAGATAAAAGTTGTGATGGGTCCATAAGGAGCCCCTTGGGGGAAAACTACGTCTTATTTGTTTTTATATTCCTAATGCCTGATACATAATACATGCTGAATGAATAAGGAAATGAAGGAATGACTGATTTGCAGGCTTTTCCATGCAGAGGCATTTCCTGGGAGATGCCACACTTGCGGGTGTGGAGGAAGGATGTTGTGCCAACTGCACAGCGTACAAGCAATCCTGAGTGAATTCATCAGGGAAAAAAAATAACCTTTGAGGACTTTCTTCTCGCTGCTAGGTACACTGATATACGTTCTCTCAACTAATACAAGGAGGCTGTGAAATCTCTATTGTTGTGCACATTTTACCATGAGCAAGCTGGGGTTTACAGAGTTTAAGTGACTTACCAAAAAGCACAGGGCAAAGAAAGCAGTGAAGCCCCAATCCAGACTCGGATGGCAGTTCTTGAGCACGCCCCCTTTCCTCCACGTTCTGAAGGAGTTGGTGTTTCCTGCCGAGGAGGATGCTGCTGTGGACCTCCAACTCTGGGAAGAAAGATCAATGGCAAATAACTTTGCAAAGAAAAGAACTATCACCACTTGAAACGGAAGTGAGGACACTTTGTGTCTAAACTGGAAGTTCCTAACCTTTTTTGTTTTGGACACTGCAAGGCAGCAGAGAGCGGGCCGGGCACATTCCTGGTCTGCAGTCTGCCCTTTAAGTGCACAATTTATAGAAAAGCAGAGACTAAGGGTCCAGCAGTTAACCTCTTTACCCTCAGATTCTTGCTCTAAAACCAGCAAATAAATCCCCTCATTGTCCCCCACACTAGCATCTCCACCAAAGACTATAGAGGAGAAATAAACACAAAAATAAATTCAAAGGGAGCATTATTGCTATTTGTAACTAATTATAGGTTTGTTTCTAGTTTTCAAGAGATGAGGAGGAGATGAGGAGTATTAGGAGGGTACAGATGGGGAAGAAAGTTGGAAGGACACTGTTTTAAAAGATGTTTGGAAGGACACTGTTTTAAAAGATGTAATTGTCTTTAAATTTAAATTTAAACTCCCTTAAACTTGTTCTAGGTAATCTAAACTGGCTGTAAAACCAGGTAAGTTTTAACTGTTAGTCTGTACATAAAGTAACAAAAATATTTTATTGTGTGTACTTTACTGCCCGATGCCCATTTCACTGCCTGCACAATTTGTTTGCAGAAGTCTCCAAGGCCCAATGCAACTGGTTTGATTTAGCCTGTAATTGAGCTTTGCAGATAACTAAAGTCCTCTGCGGTAAGGTAGGATACAGGGGATACCAGGGAAGCAGAGTTCCCTAAAAATCTTTCCATGTGCACAAATTATTCCAGCCTGGCGTGCCCTCTGAACCATTCCCTACACTTACCAGGTGGAGCAAGGGCTCATGTGAAGCAGAAAGCATAGGCATCATGACTTCTCACTGAGAGTCAGCTCTTTTACCTTCTGCTCCTTGCTTCCCCTGTTGTGAAGATATTTGCTGGATCAAAAATTGAGACACTTGGTCTGGCCATGAAAAATGAAATTAAGACTGCTCCAGAAAATCTAGGACATACATTCTCCAGAGCTGTAGCAACCTGTAGCACTAGGTACACAGTAGGTGCCCAATAAATGCCTGCATGAAAAGCAGCATTCCAAACGGCACTTTGAATTTTCTTCAAAAATCTTATCCTCAGCTAGATTTCTTTCTAAATCCTAGATCCCTTCAGAACCCAGGACTCTGCCAGTTGGCTATGGGCCTTTGCTGGGTCCATTCAGCTTAAGTACCACAGTTTTCTTTTTGAGATTAAAACTAAATTTAAAACCGAAACCTGAGGGCTCTCACTTAAATCTTAGAAACTTTAAAATATGGCTAAAGATGTAATATATTCTTTTCCACTTGAAAAATAAATAACTGGTTTGATAAGTAAAGTGCTACTCCAAACACACAACAGTAGAATGCTCCCGATGAAGTATTAACTGTTGGTTTGTTTAGATAAGAAATACATCTAGTCAAAATCAAGCTGCAATTACTGGACTTCAAAGCAAAACAATTTGGCTCGGCAATGTTGGTTCTAATCTCACATCAAAAGCAGCTGTATCATACTCAGCTTATGAAAAGAAAACAATTCTTTTCAACCAATATGAAGCATGGGAAAACAAGGATAGTATTTCTTGAAAACCTCAGAGAAATAGAGAGTCCCATGTGAAACACACAGAGCATTTCAGAAATTTCAAAAACGGTAAGCTGCCTAGAGACCTTACATTTCATGAAACAAGAACAGGTGTAAAACCCAAAAGGGAACATCCGTTTTCATTTTTAAGACTTTTGGAAAAGCATTAATATGAAAGACATTACAATAGCGAAGATCTGTCCTGGACACCTGGGGATGGAGAGACAAGAGAGAAAATGGAAGTGAAGAAGGGTAAAATCCTAAAATTAACCCAACCAATCCCGTTTTCTGGACTGTGAGGTAGAACAGTATTTCTCCAACTTGAAAAGAAAACCTGTCAGATGCAACTTATGGTTCAGTGGGTCGGGGGCAGGGCCTGGGGGTCAACATTTCTAACAAGCCTCTAGATAATGCCAATGCTGCTGGTCCATGGACCCCACTTGGAGGAGCAAGGATGTAACACTTTGGACCTCTGAATCCCATACAGCAATCACTCCTTGGAAAAAGCCAGCAGCCCAACTAGATAAAATGTGGCACAGTGTGCAACCCTGAAGGGGGTAAGGCGTATTTTCATGTGTTAATTGACCTCCCTTAGAGCCAACACAACAGTATAAAGCAAAACAAAATCAGAATTTCGGTGGCAAAGATGAGCTCATTAAGAGCATATTTTAGAGAGATTTAGATAAAAGGCAACCGAAGCAAGCTGAAGAGTGTGCTGGGGCTTTTACCTGAAGCTTTTGATTTCTCTGGAAAGTTTGGTGAAGAATCACAGAGGGAGGGCAGTGGAACCAGTTGGTAGCCAAAGTCATTATCAGTTCTGACTTTGACAGATGGGAAAAAAATCAACATGAGTTTGCACAACAAACAACCTGACTTGGAGATGGGTTCAGCATACTTAGTGAGGATTTGGGAATGAAGTGAGGAATTACAGAGTTGTGGGAGAACTAAAGATGATGTTTCAACATCTTGGTCCTTAATCTACTATAGCCTCCTCATCTGCATTGTGGAAAAAATAACAACACACCCTTCCAAGGATTATTGTGAGAATTAAAATGAGTTCTAATGGGTGATGAGGATTAAGGAGGACACTTGTTGGGATGAGCACTGGATGTTATATGTAACTGGTGAGTCTCTAAATTCTACTCCTGAAACCAATATTACATTGTATGTTAACTAACTAGAATTTAAATAAAAATTTGAAACAACAAAAAATAAAATACAATAAAAAATAAAGTGAATTCTATTAAAGCAGTTGAAACAGTTCCTAACTCATAGCAAGCACTGCATAAGTCATTACTTATATTATTAGGCTTATATTACACTGATTTGGAATATCCAAGAATCTAGTTCCAACACAAAAGGGTCATAAGCTATGAAAATGTACGGGGCCTCACTAAGAAAGTCATCCATTAATTTAAAACTGGTGACAATCACTCAGCAACTAGATACTACTTGTTGGAGATAGACATTTATGAGGGGGAAAAAAAAAAAACAGTACCTAATTCCTCACTTACACAGAAATAATAAAATGGAAAAAAATCATTTGAAAAAAGATATTAGGGGGGCGCCTGGGTGGCTCAGTTGGTTAAGCGACTGCCTTCGGCTCAGGTCATGATCCTGGAGTCCCGGGATCGAGTCCCGCTTCGGGCTCCCTGCTCAGCAGGGGGTCGGTCTGCTTCTCCCTCTGCCCTCTTCCCTCTCGTGCTCTCTGTCTCTCATTCTCTCTCTCTCAAATAAATAAATAAAATCTTTAAAAAAAAAAAAAGAAAAAGAAAAAAGATATTAGGCCTAAATGACTTCAAGGAGAAATAATTTTTTCACCTCCAGGGGAGAGGCTACTCTTACTTTAACAACAGTAAACAAAACAGGCATTAAAAAAAATCAATATTTTGTTGCTGATGCAATTAAAAAAAAGCAGTAATAAAAAAAGCAGTATTTTCTCAACAGTCCCCAGCCCAAGCTTAGTCAATGCTATGAGTCAATGAGTCACAAAGAGTATGGCTTTGTCATGGGGTGGTAATGTTCAATTTTTTCAAGAGAACAACTATATGTTCATGAAGGAAAATGTCAGCATCATTTTATTATAGAAGGTTCTCCCAGGTATTTGCCTTGGTCATTATAACTCTAGCATCAAATTTCAGAAGAGCCATTGATCAAAATAATGCCTTCTTGCATCATGGAGAACTCATTTCCAGTGAGGAATGAGATCTGGAAACTGAGTATAGTATGGTAAAGCAGAGAACAGGGCTGGGACTGGGAAATGCTGGAGACCCACTAGAATGTACTTCACTGAGGGCAGCAGTTCCGTCTGGTTGGATTATCAAACTGGCCATAGCACCTAGAACAGCGCATGAATGTGTAAGCCTAGCCAAGTAAATCTGACCACTGGGCTTCGTTTCTCTCATTGGCCAAATAGGAAGCTAGACCCGACGTGGTCTTTCTCCATTAGGATTCATTAATATTCTTCTACCTTAACATCCCAGGATTCTATGATCGTTGTTGTGTATGGAAGAAATTTTATGGGATACATCTTCTTGAAGCCTAAATAAATGCTAGATTTTCCTAGAGATTGGCTTCCTGTACTGATACAGGCAAGATAAACTATACCAGTCTCTATTATAACCACTCTCAAACAGATAAGAATTCAAGTCCATTTTTAGGCTGGACAAGTAGGAGCATCCTGCTTTCTGGGCATTCTATGCTAACTTATGTTTGAGTGTATGAAATGCTTGGCTGAGTCTCTGAGTAAGCCTGGACTTCTCAAAACCTTGAACATCTTTTTTTTTTCTTTTCCAGGCCAATGATGCAGATGCCAAATAAAATCCCTAATCCAAGGAATTTCCCAAAGGGAGCTCCTCTGCTAAATAGCCAAAGACAGCACCCCAAAATAGTCATGGAATCACCCATGCGTACATTGCTCCTACATCAAGTCCCAAAAATTCTTCTCCAACCTCACCGACTGGTCATATCCCCGTATCATGAACACTTCCACCCATACCCCTCTCCCGCACAGCACTTAGCCTAAGGGAAATTTCATAATTGTGCAATTGTTTGATTACACTAGACTCCAGCTTCACAGGCCCATCGTCCATGACTACTATTGCTTCTAACCATTGTCTCCCCAGCATTTAGCATTCGGCACATGCTGGACACCTAATAAATACTGAAAGAATGAGTAAATGATTTAAGCGATCAGCTTAACTAGGAAAAAAAAAGGAAATTCCTAGAACACCTAAAGATTCCTCCTAATTTTAATACTACAACAAAGCCCTGTGGACTTTGTGCAGAAAGAAAATTTCAAAATCACCTGGGCATCCTCATGCCACCAAACTGAAATATAATCCCATGTG